AGATTTTGGTAGCCCGACTGGAAAAATCGCTAGCCCCGGGATGTCGGGCTAGCGATTTTGCGAGCCCTGCCTAAAATGAATTACACCAGTATATTGCACTAGATCGTTTTAAGATTTCTGATTTAGAAAGGCAACCTCTGAAAATGACACATACCTAGGAAAAACTGTAGTGAATCAAACAAATTGTATCTGAATCCGTATTTGATCTATTGTAAGTATACCAAATAGTGTAACAAAATGAAATGGTTAAAAAACAAACTAAAAACTAATTTTCATGCACTCAAGCTATTATATGTTCTGCACTTTGCATCAAATTTGCAATCAAAGCTATTTTTCAAAATACCAAGCTGTGTTTTTCCTAGACTTTGATAAGAGAGCATCCCCAAAGCTGCTTTTTTTTATTGAACCGAGAAATCAAAAGGTATTTATTCAATTTTCAGTTTAGATGCATGGAAATAACAATTTCTTTTTGGTCTTCTTCCTCCACGTGATGTTATTCCATCCAATTTAGTATGCGATCCTGTGATTGAGGAGCACTTTCGTCGAAGTCTTGGAGAGAACTACAAAGAAGCAGAGTCTGTGTCTAACTCAGTGTCCATAACGGGTTCAGTGGATGACCATTTTGCCAAGGCACTGGGAGATGCCTGGCTCCAAATCAAGGCCAGGGGTGGGGGCCATCAAACTCCAGACGCTGATCCGTGAATCAGAGGGGAGTAAACATTATAATCACTTAAGTATGTGCATATGAGAGTAGAGATCGCTCGCTCTCATTTCTTGCCAAGAATCAACTTCCCTTAACCAAGAACAGAGTAAGACATATGGTGCTCACACCGGCTGTTTGCTTGTGGACCTCAAGGGTCAACCTTCTGTTAGCTCAATCTGAAATCATTAAATCTCTCTTATAATAGAAGAGAATCTTAATATTGAATAGTTGGGTTGACAGTGTTAGTTGTGGAAACAATCATAGATTTTATTTTGAAATGAAAATGAGATTCACAGAGTGGTCAGTTGTTCAGAGTTCATGCTCTGTTTTACCTGCCTTTCACCTGCCTTGATAGCCAAAGAGTTTCCTGCCTTTCCAATCAACATATAAGCCATGGATTTACTCTTTATTTTCATCTAAATCACACTGCTTTTGAATTTATATTACTTGAAAAGGACAGCCAGGTCTCATTTGCACTATTACATTTCTGACTGTTTAAGGTAGCAGGTTACCTGTTTCAGTTGGAACTGATGTGTTCACGAATACATTTGTGATTGTGATAATGCAATTAAGGCTCTGGTCCCCCGCTTTGTGAAGACACTAGCCTAATCAGTCTTCTTTATGATGGTGAACTGGACGTATCCACTGTTGAATAATTATAGTTTCCTGTCTATACACTCACTGTGGGCGATTACTTAATAAACTAATATCACAGTAGATATCTAACTAGACAGCATGTTTTAAATAGCTGGGTTCTATTACAATCCTTATTCTATACTATATATTTACTCAGAATTTATTTTTTATCTGTAACATTTTAGAAATACTCACTGCTGGTACAGTTGTACTCAATATATTTTTTTGTATCAGGTTTTCATTAGTATATGTAGATGTATATCCTAGCATCCATCTACAAGTCACAGCCTCTGGCAAGGTTGTATGAATACAGTTTAAATAGGCTGCATTGCTTTTTTTTGTTTGTTTTTGTTTTGTTAATTCTGTGGAGCTGAACACTGCGGCTTTACACAAGACTGAATACAGCTAAATCTGACTTTCTGTAGCTTTTTATTAGCAGTGACTTTATTTATTCTTCACATGTTGATAGTTTCATGTTGACTTTTGGCAAAATGCAGTGACAACAGAACTTTGACTTTAATGTGTTTCTTTTTGTTGTTGTTCCTTTTTTTTTTTTTTTTAATGGTTCATTCCATGAAAAGTTCATTAGTGCCTCCCACCTCTCCTCCTCACAGTAAGCACATTTATTTTTTTCTACAGTAACTACAGTAATAATGGATTGGATTTATATAGCGCTTTTTCAAGGCACCCAAAGCGCTTTACAATGCCACTATTCATTCACTCTCGCATTCACACACTGGTAGAGGCAAGCTACAGTATGCTTAATAAAGCCATAGAAAGTTACAGGAAACTAAATGGTGCATTCAAAATTTTAGCACTTTTTAATTTGTGATATAGAGTAACTGAAACAAGCTTTAAAAAAATCTAGAGTAATTGGTCATTTCGTACTTTTGATACTAGGCTGATCTTCTAGCTGTGATATTTTTTTCCATTAATTTTGTAATCGTCATTGTTTGGGTCACCTTAAAATGTAACTTAAGGTTGAACCGTTCGATACAGTGCTTTCGGTTCGGTATGCATATGTATCGAACAATACAAATTTTTAAAATTTATTTTATCAACTTTTCTTCTGACGATGCTGTCTGTGTTGAGAGCTCAGTGGATCTGTGTTTGACTACTTCGCCTAGGCTTAGGCTGCACTGTCGAGCGCAGATCCACTGAGCGCAGCGCAAGCTAGCAAGACAGAAGCTAAGCTCGTTGCAACATGGCAAATTGAACCTCTCCCACCCTCATTCAGATCTGGCCTTTGGAACTATTTTGGTTTTCATGTGAAGTATGACCCTGAAGGTAAGCGTGTCATGGACAAAAGTAAAAACAGTATATCAGATGTGCCACGCAATGCTCAATTACATGGGTGGGAACTAGTGCGTTAGCGCAGTTTGCTCGTTAATGTGTTGACGCCGTCCAGCCCCACGTACGGGGCGATCCGCGGTAGCTCGTTAACAGAGATCTGCCGTGTTGTGGCGTTAACGTCATTTCAGATTAACGCTGACAGCACTAGAGGGAACAAAATGAATATGACTGCACACTTACTCCGACATCATCCTAGTGCAAAGACAAGTGGAAGCAGACAAAAACAACAAGCACGCATGCTACAAACTTTACCCGCGTCATTTAGACTAGTGATGTGCGGATCGATCCTGAAATATCGATTCCTCCGATACCAATCATTTATGTTCTAGAATCAATTCTTACATTAAAATATCGATATTTTAGTAATTTAGGGTAAGTTTGTAGTTTATCATTAACAGGAACACAGTGGAAAGAAACTATAA